GTTCTTTTGGCTCTTATTTAATTTTAATAATAAATTTTATTCAATTCTACTAGTATGGTTGGTTTCAATCCCGAAGGTACCACAAGAAAGATGATATTTTGTTTACCCATAACAATAATTTTTAATTGACTGTAGTACATGTACTAAATATCCTTAGTTATTTTGAACATGCATCGAGAGTTTATTGTAGATAAGTTTCGTTATCATGACAAAAAAAAGTCGCGAAGATGTTTAAAAATAGAGACTCACTACAAATAATAATCTTATTTCAAGACGTGGATAAATCCTCGTTGTCGCAGTTGGTTGTTTACGACGTTTCCTGCCACGACAAATTTTATACACTTGTCACAATGAGATACTTTTTTAATTCACTGCACAAACAACTATTGAAAACACTTGAAAAAATTGATTGCAACGATTTTGATTTTACTATTTATTTCACGAAACTGTTAAATTAACTTCGTTGGTGTTTCGTATACCATTTCTAGATCCATAAAGTTACTGCTATATGCGGTAAAAATCATCTTGTATACCAGGAAGAAATTAAATAGACAGACTTACTTATTTATAAAGCTAATAACATGAGCATCATCTTAAAGATAAAACATAAGAAATTACTATAAATATTATCTCCACATGGAACTAACCTAGAATCAATAACGAAACTTGGACATGGATATGAATATGAATAGTGAACTCCTTAATGTAGTTGTTCCTCTGACACTATCTCGTTAAACTCATCTTATAGTATTATCTCTTCTCAACTCAAGAGATTTCGTGAAGGAGAATGGCTAAACACACGTTCACCGTCTCATAGAAATACAATGTACTTATTTAAAAAGAAGACTATACGTTTTTGCGAAAAATAACACATATTTAAATTTTCGAATGCGTTGTTTGGTTTAAATCTGCCTTGGCATTGCTTAAACTCCCGTTGTTAACGTTTTTTGCCCATAAAGAACTAAATGCGGGAAACTAAAATGTCTCTCATGTTATTAATTTGGACACTTCTCCGTTCCCTCTAGCATTTAGGAAATAAAATCGTAATTTGGCGTTGGCGCCTATGTAATTAGCCGCAAAGCTCTCACCATTGTGATTTTTTCTTTTACGGCCGAATTTATTATTCTCACTTGGCTTGGAAATGATGCGGCTTTAGAGCTTTTTAATGACAGCACAAATTCTTCCACAGTATCTCAGACCTTTATAGCTCATTTTCCGATCGAGATGACGAGCCACCTATGTTTCGTACGTTACTTTAATAAGGCAACAAAAAATTATCCAATTAAAATCGTAACTGCCAAACCACAGCACCGAACTTTATTCATAGGTCCAAAATTTAATAAGAGAGTATACAAAGCTTGCTCCGATTTAATCTCGGCGCATAAAGGTTGAAAAGAACCACAAAGAGAATATAATAAAGATAACGTAGGACAGGTTGATTAATTATTTAAAATTTTCGTCGAATATTAAATTCGAGTCGAACAATGGTCACAAGTGCTGGAAAACCGACCATTGATTTTCTTCGTTTCATTCATCACCTTGCTAGCTATTTATAGGCAAATATCGACTAAACGGAGTCGGACGGGACCTGGTTCGATTTGAGTAGATTATTTTTGATAAAAGGACGATGTTTGAATGCATGAAACGGAGGAGAATGAAGCACAGTGCACCTACAACAAGCTGAAAAGTGCTGTGACACTAAGTGGAGACGATTATCACGAATAATCAAAATCGTCAACATAACACACTTGTTTACTTTTTAATGTTGCTTGGACATTTATATTTGTGAAATAAACGGCTTGGTTTCAGGATCTACGTTTTTATCCCTACTTTTTTAAATCTGCTTTAAGAATATTTTACTTTCATCGTATTCTAAAGGTAAGGTCTGCTGCTTGATGTGAAGATGATATTACAAATCGGCCAAAGCGACGTTTTATCAGACCACAACAAAAAATCGGGGGTAGTAGAAAAAAGTTGAAGTAAAAAATAAAATGAATATTGTGTATAAGGTATTTGCCGAGTGTGCACATTATAATATGAAAAAAAGAAAACAAGAATGAAATACGCTTTGTAGTAGAAATAAGCTTCATCCAATATTACCGAATGGCGATAAACAAAAAGCTTTAGCTTACAAACTAACAAAAAGTTGACAACACATTGTGTAATGGTGAAAATTGCGATATCGCATGGTTGATGGAGTAATGTGGTCCAAAGTAGACAGAAACGAAGAGAAATTCTGATTAATTATGGAAAATAATGAATAACGTTCAAATAGGCTGAATATCTAGCTGATTTACTGTTAATCGATAAAATAATGTTTGTTTGTTACGCTCCATGTTATTTGCGTCAGATTATTATTTTATATTTTCGCCTTAATTTTTTAAGATTATTTCCATCAGTTAGCTACTTTCAAAAATGCTGTAAAAATAAAGCGCTAGATTTCAAACTAAATTCATATTACCGATTTCAAGCTTTCAAACAATTATAAAATTAAGCTTACATTTGTTTTTTTTTTATTATATTTAATATAACTAGCGACGTAAATAACATCCCCACAGCCCTTGTGTCAAGAATTTGCGCTCCCAAGTACGGACAATGTAAAATATATTTAAAGCATGTAACAAACGGGACAAATATCCTCTCAGCACTAACAACAAGCTGAAGTTCAAGTGTTTATGTTTATTCATCGACAGAATGTCACGTCGACATTAGTTTGATTTGAATGAGTTTGTCTCCCCAAAATAGAGTCACAATCGAACAAAATGTTCTGAATATTACAATCCTTATTTGGTCAGTATTAAATAAAGACGTGCGTCTATATTTCGCATGTTATTGTTTGTGATTTAAGAAAATAAATTTAAAAACCACCCCCTTCTGAAGTGTGCATGTTACGCTACTGACTGACAGTCCGTTGTCAGATTTTGATGATTCACCATGTTGAACTTAAAATAATCCATCTCTAAGAACCCTTGTCCTTCGACATTGGGTAATAGCAACCTGACTTAATTTTAAATATACAATCGTAGACTGTGTTTATTATCGAAGTTTTATATCAATTGTAAATAGTGCGATTTTAAATTCAGTTCACATTTTCATCGAAAGACAAACTTAATTGGCTAAGCATAAAATTCGATTTGTTCATACGATGGGGCAATGAACCTTCCTTATTGGAAAGACAAAAGATGGTTCTTGTAAACATACATAAAACATGTTTGCTAAACATGCATACGACAAATTCGATAAAATCAGACAGAGAAAGTTACCAAAATTTTAAATGTCAGATTTTCTGCTTACTGCTGTTTGAATTTTCATTACGAATTAATATAATCATAATCAATTAATAAGGTCTGTTTTTATTGCAAATTTTATAACAGTAGACAAAATAGGTATAAAAGTACAATGATTTTCATTTTTTAATGCTCATTTTAACATTTTTAACCAAAAACAAACTGTTCAAATTATTTCAGCGACAAATTTGTTAAATGTGGTTGGCCCAGCGTCCACTAAAAATTTTCAAATTCGTTTTTTCAGCGTTAAGTTCTATAAAAAAAATTGGATTAGCTGAGTGCTTTCATTAAATTAGTGTCTTCATTTATTTACTGAATTTGTTGCATAAATATGTTGCGGCCACTGAGTAATTATGGAATTATTTTATTAACAGGTAAATACCGAACTCATTAGCAGAACCAAGCGGCAGCTAATAAGTGCAAAGGTAATTTATGTTGTCTACCTAATGATATAAAAAAATTACCCTTTGTAACGTCAAATTTTGTCATGCAGTAGCTTTAAAGGAACGTAAACTTCGCTAAACGACATATAATTTTCCTCATAATTAGTACTTAATGGTGATTAGCGTTTTTTAATGATATGTTTCAGCGACTATTATTTTTTATTTAAATTAAAGCCGCACTTAAAAAAGCTTAAAGGTTACGACAACTTGGCATTATTAAAATAACTCCGTAAATGAGAATTTAACGTGCATGCTAACAAAGCAGAAAACAGTCACGAGAACTAATTAAACAGTTCTTTAAAAAGGTAATGATTTTCTTATCATTTAATAGCTATCGATTTAAGTTGAGATTTTCAACCACGCTACATTTATTCGAAATCAAAATTAATACACCATGGTTCCCTTAGCGTCCAAATACCCTTGGTAATCGCATTAATCTTGTTTTGTCATGCGTCAATGACCTGAATCCTGAATCTGTCACTTTTTCTTCCGTCGAAAACTTACGCAACCTCCTGTATATTCTCAACAAATAATTGACTAATCGTCAAGTGTCCGTTTTTCAACGCCAAAAAAACCAGCATAATCATCTATCATTTTGCTATTACAATACAGAGTTTTTGCGCGATTGTTGACAAATTATGGTAATGCGATACTAAATAAAGAAAATATTCCCATCTGACGCAAGTCGACTTACTATAGGTATGCCCTGTAATGTAATGGTCGCAAACACAAATATTTGTTGCTTATTATTAACGAAATTTACACATTACCGAACCAGATTTGATTAGTTATTCAGGCTTGCCGAGCACGAAAAAATTACATCTAACGATTTTGTAATTAGATTTTAATGGCCGGCCGTAAATGGAGTGGTAATTGCTTTGTAAACCTCCAAGTGCAACTAAAAAGTGTCCAATTATACAAATAGACACAACAACGCCATTTACAGATTTTCCGGTAGGCCGTCCCACTAAAATCCGAATCCATCAGTGTCTTTTCGCTTCAGATATCTGATTTGACGCTAAATTAACCATCGGGAATATTTACGCGTTCAGGGGCGAAAAATCGAGCGGAAGTGGGTTTGACAAAGTTTTTACGAATTAATAACAGACTGGCGGGTTTACGTATTTACAAGAAAGCTTTGTGCTTTCAGCAGTTGGGAATCTAGAACTTAAATCTGCTCAGAATTGCATTTGCGGATGTGTATTGGATATATTTGTTGTATTTTAGCGGAATATTTGTACAATAAAAAATCAAATCCGTTTTTTTTCAGATATTTGGGACATTTACCGTTTTCACTTGAAGTCCTTTAAGCTCGAAGATCGTTTGACCCAAAAATGTAGTTTTGGGATGAAGGTAACGTACTTATTTTGTTACTTAATAGAATAAAATATATAACTTCGCTATTAAAAAAAAAATCTTTTTCGGATGGCGAACGGAACATATCGAAAAGTTTTCTTATTTTCAGTAATTGATCTTTGAAAACTAGAAACTTTGTATTTATTTATAATGAACTGTTCAAGTTCGTACGCGTTACCATATTAAAGGTGAACGCTTCGAACAGGATGTTGTTTATCAAACTAACTTTGCTAAAGTGGATAACTAAAATATTATTACCCGACGTAATTATAATTTTGCGCGTTTTAGTATTCATGATTACATTAAATAAATTACTGGAAAGCATGAAAAATGACAATACATTGAATAATAATTGAAAACATACATTAAAGTTTGAAACTGAAGAGTAGGAGAATATGCTAATCTAAACTGTTTCACGTTTCTTGTTCTGTACACAGTCTTTGAATTATGGAACAAACTTGATACTAGTATTTGAATTGAGAAAAGCGCTCCACTCAAAACTTTTTTCTGTTGCACTACGTTAGCTATATACCAAAATTTTTTAAGTTGATATTAATTTAATTTCCCAACACATTCCCAAAATTTATAACGTCATCTCACTACTACGTTAAATATTTGGGTACTTTAAAAAGTTTAGTTTATTGTAAACAGTTAGTGTACAGTTTATACCAAATGTTAGGTAATTAATGCAAAAAAAGATTGGAGATTTTAGCATATTAACTCATATTTAATTATTCACGTTTCAGACAAAGTTCTTAAAAAGCTTAAAACTGTATAGCAATATTTATACTTCTGCAGTTGTGGTTTATGAGTTGGTGTTCAGTGTTTACCCTTAACATCCAGATTTTTGAAAAAAAACTGGGAGTATAATATTTTATAAAATTTAATGATGCTGATGTTTACGCTCAGGAAGTAAAAATTGGTCGAAGATCATTTCAACAGAACTTCTCTCGCCCATGAAAAGCATTTATAAGTACTCGTAATTTAAGATAAATCGCGACAACGCTTGTTGAGATTGTACACGTGAGAGTGAAACAGAGGAACATTTTCTACGAACTGCAATAACTGGATCACAATGCGATAGTCCAGACTTATTTATTGTTCCGACTTCCGCTTATTAAATAAAATATTGCATTTTATTTTGATTTTCGATGTTGTAATTCATATTTGGTTAATTATAACTTGTCTAGGTCTAGAGGAGACAAAAATTTCTCTTGCGGAGGCTCAGAGAACGTCGAGAAAATATGAAAGTGGCCATTCGTCCGATGGACTGATTAGTATAAACTTCATTAACTTCCGCTCAATAAGTAAAAATGGCCTCTCAGTAATAATAACAACTTGATGTGTTTATGTTTATACATCGGAAGAATGCCGCGTAGAAATTAGTTTGATTTTAATGATAACAGAGAATATAAATTATTAGTAAAGCCGCAACAAACTGTTCTGGATATTATTAATATAATTCTTATTTATCATTATTAAATAAAGACGCGTGCATTCTCACATTTTCGAGAAACTTAGAAACTTCTTTAATTGATCAACAAAAAATTAGAGAATGATTAATAAAAGGGGTTACGGTGGTTAGACAGATATATTTTGAATAAAAGTTTATCATGATAAGATAGTTTAACAGAATAGATATCTTTTGGTTAGAAATTTACCGTGGTTACGACAAATTTAAGATGTCTGCAAAATTTTAAAACATTCGGTTTTGCAGTTCCCGATTTAGTCGATAAAATAAATTGACTCATTTATTTTTTTTTGAGTCACCTTATATAAACAATTCTAAAAATATGAAGAAAATGATAAATGATACTCATCATGTTTTGCACTTTTTTGATGGGACTTATTCGGCAAAATTTTGAGATAACGTCATCAATTTTTGGGGGTGATAAATAGATCTACCGGGTGTCTGGAAAATGGCGGATTAACTTTTCAGTACGTAATGTATGGGTTTTCGGGAGTCCGAAAAAAATAATAAAAAAATTCTTTATGTAGATTACGAATTTTATAAAAGTAAAATTGGCAACACTGCACGCACTTAATGCGTGAATACCTCCGGCTTACTTTCTGATTTCTTAGTAACGATGGTGACTGAAATCCATCTTTAATTTTTTTTTTAGGACAATAAACATAACACCCAGTAGCCATTATTATTAATAAAACAAGCTGTTATTTTTCGTTGATAAATAAACCAAGGAAACATTTAATACGACATTTATAATTTATAAACAAAAACAAAAACACAAGAAAAATCCATTAAAGCATAACCAACTAAACTCTAGAGCTCGTAATGTTTCCAAATTATGATCATTTTTTGTAAATATTATTCATCAGTAGTCGCTAAGATACATCTGATTTTGACAAATTACATACTCTCTAAGAAAAGTGAGGTCGGGTGGGAGGGCTAGTTGCTGCCAAGGTAAGACTGATTTCGCCAAATCAGATACCCTCTAAGAAAAGAGAGGGTGGGTGGGAGGGGCTAATACTTGCCAAGATAAGACTAATTTTAGCAAATACCATACCTCATTTGGTTAATGACATACCTTCTAAGAAAAGACAGGGTAGGTGGGTAGGGCTAGTACCTGTTAGGATAAGACTGATTTTGGCAAATCAGATCCCTATAAGAAAATAGAAGGCGGCTGGGTGAGTTTAGTGCCTGTTAATCTAAGATCGATTTTGGCAAATGTCAGACACTCTAAGAAAATAGTGTTCAGGTGAGGTTAGTAGCTGCCAAAATCAGTTTTATCTTAATAGGTACTAGCCCCGCCCACCCACCCAAATGACATACCCTCTAACAAAAGAGAGGGTGGGTGGGCGGGGCTAGTACTTGCTAAAATAAAACAGATTTTGGTCAATGACATACCCTCTAGGAAAGAGAGGGTGGGCGGGACTAGTTCCTGCTAACAGTGATAACAGTGATTTTGGCAAATGAGTAACCCTTTAAAAAAAGAGAACACCTACATGCTCAAAGTTGTTGTTTAAAAAAAAAACGGGGTCTCAAAATTGACTCAAAAACAGGTTAGGTCAGAATTTTCCAAAAATATGTATATAGAACACCAAAGTCCGCCAAAATTGTTTTAAATAATTTACAAAAATACTCTCCATGGGCTCCCAAAATAATATATCGTGGGTACTCCAGAGTTTCCTGAATTAAAACAAAACATTGCGGCACTCAAGACTTTTTCAAATTCATAAAAAATAGAACACTAAAAGCTCGAAAGATTTGTTCAAGTTCATCCAGCAACAAAACACACTAATTAACTGCGAACATTTTAAACGTAGGGCTTTGAAAAGTTTAACAATTTTTCTTACGTCAAACATTTTTAACTGCTTACTCGATTTTTGCTCATTTGTACCTTCGCTTTATATCAGGCAAACATTGTTGTCAAATGGAATTTTATTAAAATATTACAAAAACAACACAGCCATATTTCTGTACATTCTAACTGAAATGATAATTAAACATGGTCATGGCCGAGGGAAATATTAACTAAAAGTTTTATTACTAGTTATTGTGATAATGAATGTGTTGTTTAGTTGTTAAACGTAGCAAAAGAACCAATTTTAAAATCGTTGTAGCTCCACCAAAATGTGAGAAGAAATATTTTTTACTATTGTTTCCAGACTCACCAGTTGATTGTTAAAAGCGTAGCGGAGAGTTCATCCGCCATTTTCGAGACACCCGGTATTTTAATTAAAAATTTACCATGTGATAACTTTGAAACGTCTGTCAGATTTCAAAGTATTCGATTTTGTGGTTCCTGTTTTAATCCATAAAACAAATTGACTCATTCATTAATTTTTTTGAGTCATACTGTATAAGAAGCTCGAAAAATATGAAGGCAATCATAAATCATAAGAATAGACTCATCATATTTTGAACATCTTGGGTGGGATGTATTAGGCAAAATTTTGTAATAACAATCCATTTTTGGAGGATAACAGATCTATTTTGGTTAAAAATTTACCGTGTTTACAATAACTTTAAAACGTTTGCAAAAATTTCACAACATTCGGTTATTACTATTTTATTACAATTTTGAATTTTTTCCCAAAAATCTGGATGCCTTAGGTAACAACTCAACACGTATTCATAAACTACACGAGTATGTTATTTTATACAATTTAAGCCCATATACTATGTACAGTTTTGAGATGACGTTATCACATTGTTGGTGGGGGTGATTCTACAAATTTTGATAAGCGTTTTACCAAATATACATAGAATTTGACCACAATTGGTCCGGATATTATCTGTGTAACAAAAATCCACACGGACGGCGGACAGATAGACAGACAGACAAATGGAATACGGATACCTATTTTTTCGTACACTAGAGGTCACCACCCATCCAGGGTATATTAAAGTAACCAGTCGCCCAATGGACTCGATTGCAATACTGCCTTAGCTTACGCTCGGGAGGTAATATTTCAATTAATTTCTAGTAATAGTAAAATAGTACGTATATTCTTAATCTACCATGGACTAGAAGTATTAGCCATGATAAAACTCCAAATTTACCAGTTTCTAACACAATAATCGACACAATTGCGTTCATAGTTCCAAACGACTTGTGTAAAATCGAATTGTTTGCCATAAATTAGAAAAATCAGCCGAGAACGCAAATAATTACCTTGCGGTAGGCTGCCGGCTTTCTAAGAAAGGTTTTTGTCTTTGAACTAACCACTCAAATCGTGTTGAATTCAAACCCATTGTTTCAATATTTGTTCGTTTTTGTTAAAACACTCTGGTGAGGACTGTGTCACTAATTTTCCACAAATACTAATGTTAAAATCATTCCACAAATTTTGAATTGAATTAATTTATGGTAGGTATATTTTGATTTTTATAAAGACATTGTTTAAAAAAAGAGGAAAAACCAGAAGACAATGGTGCTTTTTTAGGATATTTTAAAAAGCTGCAATTTGATGTATAATTATATATTAATATCAGTTTATTATACAAAAAACGAAAAAATTGTTATACTCATACC